GTAAATCACCTCCGCTACCAATAGAGTCTCGTCATCTCCTAAAGAACACGAAGCAGTTAGAGCCTGGATAAGATCTTCAAACTTTCCAAACTTTGGGACAGAAATTGTACATGGGGCAGGCGGAATACTTCCATCTGTACTTATAATCGTCAGAGTCATTGTCCTAATACTTGTAGAGGGCAGCGGTAGAGATAGGTACATGAATGGATCAAACATGATAGAAACCTTTTTGCATATAGGGCAAACTAATGTTGATTTATATTGTCCCTGCAAACAAAATTAAGTAGGTCACTCATCAAATTAATAATTAACTACAAATTTGAGATAAAAAGTTCTAAGAATAAAGGAAATTTTCCAGTTCAAATTGCGCCTCTGCCGAAATAGTCTAGTTTCAGTAGCTACTCATGTCACGTCTCTTGCTACGATATCCATGCCATAACACAAAATTACCATATATTAGTCCTACAATTTTGACTGCAAGTTAATTCCGTGTCCATTATAATTACAATTTAAAGAAGTCCAAGGGCTATATACACTACAAGACTATCAAACCAGCCAATTTGTTCATATTCCATAAATTCAACCAATATAGAGCAAAGAATTGAAACGAGGAAACATTACTATTTCAGTATCATATGCAAATTAAGGGGAGAATATATTTACTAAAATAAGGAGGAATGGGAGACGTTACTTGACAAATATCAACAATAATGGAATCATTGCGAGCCAGATGATTGCGCCAATACTCATCAGCTACTTCTGAATCTGGTCGTCCATCTCCATCCTTGGCTTCAACATACGGCTTGGATTTCACGCGATTAAGATCTTCATGAAGGCCATCCAATAAAAAAGCAAGAAGCTCCTGCAACAAAAGATCTTGTCAAACATAAAACATAGACACATGGAATGCAGAAAATATTAGAGAGACTAAGAAACCTGAGAATCATGTTGATTGAAGCCACTGAATTGAGGAGCAAATCGACCCAGCTTTGACTTGAATGTTTTTGGATTCACCGACCCTGCTCCAGGTGCCCATAGTTTTCGTATCAACTCTCCAAAAGCTAAGGCTATCTCACCCTGGTGAAAACAGTTTTCCTATTGTTACACTGTCCTATACCATAATGCAAGTACAGCAATCTTTCAAGCATAAAGATTGTAGGTGGGGTATCACCACCCAAACAGCTATGATAACTCAAACCAGAATTATGACAAATGAATAGGTAGCTTACATCCATTCCCAGAGGATTGTGGTGATTTATTTCTCTACAATAATCTCCAAGGAAATAGTCTACAAGCTTTGGCGTGTGTGCCAAGCACTGGATGGCACTATTCATGAAGCAAGTATTTCCAAGATTCTGCAATCCCGTCAAACCCAATGAACCAACTTCACTGGATCTTCCAAAGATGGCAGAGTTACTACGAAACATGCCAGTCGACACGCTACCATTCATACCATTCATGAGTGGAGCAGTAGAATATGTCCCATTCGAATATTGCGAGGCCCCAGTTTTCCCTTCTCTAGACTTTGTGTTATCAGATAACCCATATACTTGTAGTTCCAGGATAACCTACACACAAGGATAACGCATGTTGCAGCTTGTATTGGCTTGAATAGAAGGAAAAAGAGAGCTTATTTTAATTAAAAGATGATATAAATGCAATCTGGAAATGATAAAATACAACCCTAAAACCCAGATCCCAGACCCTACTCCAGGGTAGTACTGGCCAAGCTTTGATGGGGGCCATTGCATGCCCAGTTGAACAGCATAGAGTTTCTAAATTTACTGGATTCATCAAACGATCATGTACATATCTTGGCAATAACAAGGATCCACCAAAATAAGTCACATACCTCCTCATCTGACTGTCGTGGACTATCTTTTGGAGATCTACATTGGCCAAGCATGGAAAGTAGAGCTGTCTGTTCAGAAAAGTCCCAAATCCGCAACTGCATAATCGTAGGAGTCTAGTCATTGAAGCATCTCATCAAATGCATCAACTGGTTGAAATTCTTACTTCTTTATGAATGGTGAATTCTGGTTGAAATTCTTACTAACCATCTCAGAATCTGCAGTGAAGATCTTATTTGCTCTTCTGAAAAATTCAGGCCCATTGTCCTGAAAATATTATTAGGAAATATATTAACATAGGAAAAATAAACCCCAGCAAAGTAGTAATTAAATAAACTGCCAACTTCAGTCGATTGAAATTATCGTGATTGTCAATATATGTGCATACTTTAGTAGTGAGTTTGAGAGGGGTAAGGCAACCTTCAGTATTTCTATACTAATTGAATAAACAAGCTGGCTGAGTTTTGTTAGTTAGTAATCCAAAGCCGTTATACACTTTTATACCACAGGGGTTCTAATTCCGAATTTATCCGAATAACAGCAAACAACTGCTACGTCGCATGTGTGGTATCAGTAATTATGTGCACATCACTGCTTATTAGCACTAATGGGTCATTTTTGCTGACCAAAATGCAGCATCCATATCATTGCTTTGTCCTTGAAATTGAAAACCAAAAAGATGGCCCATATTCCTCACCTTTTTGGTAATTTTCACTCCCAAAGAACTGCTTTCTGGTTGTACCGAGAGTCTGAGTAGCAAAGGATACACATCAGACATGTCATCTTCTGCAGCTAGAAATGTCTTTGTTTTCTTTGTCGATAACTTAGCATCACTATGCCTGGATGGCAAATTATGAAATTAGAATCAGACAGCTGGTTTCAGGCCACGAGGACTCTAAGAGGATAGCATGTCTATTGCAAAATAATCAAGAACTGCCTCCTAGGAAAAAGAAAGAAGCAACAACATAATATGTGAAACTACTGGGGGAAATAAAGCTCTCTTCACATCTTCAAACTCCCCATTATGGAATAGGATAATTAGTCTAATAAGGTAATCTTGCAGGATTTATCATGAGCTCAGCAAATGAGGATACATCTCACAAAACTAACTTAATGAGGAGATATAAGTCAATATCCACAATTGCACATCCAGACGGTCATTAAGTTTATGATCCATCCATCTTTAGCTTATAATAATATCTATGGAAGTCTGTACCATAGCAACTACCAAAGAGGCAAGCATATCATCAATAACTGGAGGAACTTAACTTAGAATGACACATCTTCAAGTGTGTATAACGCCAAAAAAGGGTCAAAGATAACATTAAACAAGTAGAGTTTAGTGCTTTGTTCAGCAGATAGTCAAATCATCTCTGGGAACGACAAGTATACAAAATCCTAACGCGGTAAATCAACTCACTTATGGATTATGTCAAGAAATCAATTTAGCATGATTACACTATCACAAACAAATAAACTCATTAAATGCAAGAATTCGCCATGCAAATCTACATCAAATTCGCATGCAAGGAACAGAACATCTCATAATATCTCTCACTGAAAGATCAGAGTGCCTCTTCACACAAAAACCTAACTATACATGTCAAGCAATCAAATACTTCTCAGTAGTTAATGCTTGATAACTGTTTACGGAGCTCTAATTTATTCATGGATAAAGTTCCACATAAAGAACAAAAGGAGAACCTCTACGACCGAGATACTAGATCACAAAGATCTTACAAAAGAGGGGCAAGTGCATAAGCACGTCAATATCACTCTATTTGACAACATAATTCAATGGAGCAGTTTAACCAATTCCAAACAAGCATGAATTCACGAAAATAACAGGGCAAGCAAAGGTCAAAGCAACAATTGTTCTCAAATCTCAAACACAATGCATTGAACACCAACGTGAGATCAACGAATGATTATCTATCCAAATCCTTATCAACTTCCAGCCATAATTTCCAAACAGAACAATACACTAACCCTTACCATTTAAGTGCCTTCACCCACATTTCCCCGGACACCAAGGCGAAGTCCCTCCCGGATACACCCACTTCATTATTCTCGCAGCCATTAGGCGATGAACCATCCTCTTCTCCCCGCAGATTGAGCAAGAGATCCGAGCTGAACATGGTGTTTATCAGCTTCATAGGACTCGCATATGAAGATGACGCCTGAGCCGCTGTGTACAAAACCCCTTTCTTCCCATCCGATTCCTCCTCAGCAACAGAATCATTGGTCTCCTTCCACCACCTAAAAACATCCCAATTCAAACCCAAATCAGCCAGGCCAAATCATAATATCCCCACATTACAATTCATCCTAACACGACCATGAAGAGCAAGAGCAAGAGCAACCCCAGCATCTACACATTCAGCTCCCTGGCCTCCATCACAGACAAATTTCCGAGATTTGATTAACCAGGCATTAACCCTTGTAGGTGGGAAGGCGGGAAACCAGAAGGCGACGAACGAGTCCAGGATTACACAGATTAGAAATGCAATCTAAGAAAAGAGAGAGGGTGGAAGAAGACCTGAGAGGAACGAAGTAAACACGCTGGTCATTGTCGGAGGATTCTGGTCGCTGAATTGAATCTGAGAGATCTTCGGATACGCCGTTCTCCATTTTAATTATCGGCGACCCCCAAATCAAACGGGAAAGAGAACAGAAATGAAAAATTAAAAAAAGGGGAAGGAAAATTTTTGCGAAAAAGGGAGAAAAAGAATGGTGGGAAATTAGATTTAGGGCGGAATAATGCCAGCGAGAGAGATGGAGATCAGTCTCCCGGAAGAGGGAGACAAGGAGACGACAATGGCGGATTTGCAGAGAGAGAGAACGAATGAAGCCACACACAACAAGATGGATTGTGTTTATTCAAAAAGGCTTCTTCATTTATTATGTGATTGTGAAGCGGATTGGAATTTGGAAGAGGGAAATTGTGAATTTTAGCAAATCATTAATTAAAATTAGACCGTATATGCGGAGAATAACGTTGTTGTCTGCGTTATGTACTTGTTTGATTGATGTCTTCTCCTCGAACTTGGTTAATGGGCCGGTTTTTATTGTCCAACCCAACCTTTGAATTGAGGAACAATCCAATCCAAACCCTTGAGATCTTGTCCAACTTTAAAATGTGATGGATAGAATCATGGTTACATTTTCTTAGATTATAAAATAGAGGAAATTAAGGTGATGGACTAATTAGGTTCGAATGGACTCGACAATAACACATTCAATCAGATCGATGTGTTCTTGAAATAAATGTGAGACTATACTCTCTAGCGTCAATTTAGCTCACGCTCCGGTGATCACACACACAATCAATGTGTTCTAGTTTATTTACAAAGCAAAACCTAAATAATGAAAACAATTGAGAGATTAATACTCTGGTATGTTGAAAATCACGATTTTTTTCTCAAAATAAGCTAGTTAACACGAAAATACTATATGTATTTTATGTGTATTACACAATAAACATGTATTTTCATGTGTGTTTTTAAATGAAAGTTTCTCACGATCTCTTTATTCTCTCTCGTGAAAAAAGACAATTTCATAATGTTGTCTTATCTCCGAGAATAAGAATAATATGAAGTGTCTCATCGATAAATCCAATGTATCGTATAGTGAAATAACAAATAAAGAATAATTGCTAACGACACATGATCACATAATAAAGATAATTATATTGAACAACCAAAATAACTTTAATTCAACTTTACAATTACTCTACAATTCCTTTCAAATCAAAATGTATAGAAATACAACATATATACATATTTTGTTTGAGTACATAGAATTACAACATACATTAAAAGGAAACAACACAATGGGAGAGGATAACAAGAGAAATCATAGAGGAACCTCATGACTTGACAAGTTCATTCACATTTTGAACAAACTTATCTATGTACCTTGACATAAAACCCGGATTAGAAAACACACCTCTCCATTTCTCATGATTCTCCCTTAGTGAACAACCCAACTCATTGCCACTATTCATTACACATTGAATTGCTTCACTGAGCTTCTCCTTGGAAACCCAACCCTTCTCACCTCTCTCAACCTCCAACCCAACTCTCAGCTCCCCAGCCATCAACCTAGTGTTCAAAACCTGGTCCGCCAAATGGGGGACCATCACAATCTGGCACCGGCTCGTCAGCGACTCCCACATCGAACCGAACCCACAATGGTTCACGAAGCACCCAACTGATGGGTGGTTCAGTATGGCCACCTGCTCAACCCATTCCCCGGTCACGATCCCTCTCCCCTTCACCCTCTCCTCGAACCCTTTCGGAAGCGCTTCCTCGATCGTCGACGCCCCTGCAGGCGGCTTCAGCGCCACCAGAAACGGGTGCCCCGACAGCTCGAACCCGAGGACGAGCTCCTGAAACTGATCCTTCTCGAGAAACACCTGACTCCCAAACGCACAGAAAACAACCGAGCCTGGTTCGAACTTTCCCAACCATTCCGCCCATCGGTCGTCTTCCAACCGATCCTCACTCTGTTCGGGCAGGACCGGACCGGTGAGAAAAACCGGTTTCTCGTACTGCTCGCCCAAATACCCACACAACTTCCCTTCAATCTCATCACAAGTCCTCATCGCCAAGGCGTCGCATCCCTTCATCCCCAAACTTATCCTCTCCCAAAACGTCGTCGCTTCACCGTACGGCATGAACAGAAACCCTAGCAACCCGGCCTCGTACCCGCGGCGGAGCACCACGGTGGAGGAAGGGTAGCCGGGAGGAGGAACCGCCAGCTCATCCTCCGTCAGTACCTTCCCCTTCTCCAGGCCACGCGCGGGGACCAACACGATCGCGATGGCCGACGCGCCCAGGACCGTGTAGTTCACGCTCTTGATCCCGAGCAGGCGCGTGATCTCGGGCACCCAGTGCGCCATGTCGAACACCACCAGCTTGGCGCGCGTGCCGCGCACGACGGCCTCGACCTGGTCGCGCGTGCGGTCCATGGCGACGCAGAGGAAGTGGGTGAGCTCGATGGGGACCTCGGAGGCCGTCTCGACGCCGGCGGGGAGGCCGTCGACGGGAGGGAGGGTGAGCGGGTGGAAGGTGATGAGGTTCGGGTGGCGGTTGAGGTGGCCGAGCCGGTCGATGGCTTTTTGTGGGGTGATGAACGTGATCGTGAAGCCTCGGCCGGCGAGGTCGTTGGAGAGGTGGAGGAACGGGGTTATGTGGCCGGCGGCGAGCCACGGGAACATCACGATGTGGAAGTTCTGGCCGTCGTTTGTGGAAGAAGCCATTTTTTCTTTCTTGGTGTTGATGATGGGGAAATGGGGATCATGGAAAGAGTGATGAGCATATGGTGAGGATTTTGGTTTCCTTTCTTTGTTATGGTGGAGATGGGAAGGGAAGGGAAATTGGGTATCGTTCTTTTCTGTTTATTGTTAATGGATGGCTCTTAAACGTAAAGGAATAACGTACGTAGGAAATTTGTTTGTGTTTTTTTATTATTATTATATGGATACGAGTTATTTGCGCGTTTCGTGCTTTAGCCATGTGGTTACGAATGACGGATAGTGGAAATGTTGTAATACTTGCATGGATGATTAATGAGTTTGGAACGTAAAATCTATAAATGAAAACAGTTCGTGTGAAAGTGTGCTTCATTTTCTTCAAGTTACGTACATGCATGTCCTGTCGACCTATACAATATTTTGAAGATTCTCGTTCATAACTTCAAATTAAATGTGGTGATATGGTGAGATTGGTAATCGATCTTTGATCTCCTATGTGTTTGAATTAATGTGAGAAAGTTGAATTATTGTAATCGATTGGTTGTTCACATGGTATTAGATGTTTCGATGATGAAATCAATTTTATTTGAAAATAATTTATATATTTTTAATTATTGCATTTTGATGCTTGTTGACCATAAAGTTCAAATTCAATGTGTGGTGAATTTTATCCTTTCATTTTGCCAGTTGGCCAATCCATTGAATTTTCTAATGACTACTAAGCCTAATGATTAGTCTAGAGTGGTTAGCTCTTTTCCATCAAGAATTGTGTTATCCCTTGTGAGTTTGTGGTTACATCAAACCTCTGAATTTGATAGAAGGTCGTGTTTAGCGAGAACCAGTCCAGATTAGGGTGGTTGTAGGCCAATCTAGAGGTTGCTTTGAGGGGTACAACACCAATATTGTTGTTCTCATAAGTAAGAAATGTTGTGAGGCTTGACAGATTGATCAATTCATCGCTCAGTGGACCCATTGAATTGGTAGAGCGCTAGTACTATTAATGCAACAACATGATAAAATTTATCTTTGAAATTAGAAATAAGGTAAATAGATGTGTTATTATTATATAGTGTGAGTAATTCATTTATTTCAAGTACCAATTTATTATTCACTAGATATTTTATTCCTTAAATGTTGGATGAATGTGTTAACAGCCACATCGTGTTTGCTTGTTAAACTACTAAAACTTCCGAAATCTAACACAAACCCTGAAATAACAAAATCCAACATAATCCTCCAATCTTAAAATCCAAAAATTTACCAAAATTCCTAATTTTCTTAAAACTCATCCGATCAAACAACCCGTACGTTAATTAGTGACATGTCCATTTTGGCGCCAACACTTACTTTTCGACGACCTTTCCAACTCCATCGGTTTTCTCGAATCCATCATTGCTTTCCCTGTGGCTTTGTTGCAACACACTCTCCAGCTGTCCACACGCTGCTGCTATCAGACCTACACAATCAACATCAAAGTTGCCAACTAATATAAGTCCCCAACTATATATATATATATATATCTCGAACCAAGATGTCATGATTCGTTTGTTTAATCAAAACACAACTCAAACGATCCACTTGGCGGTTAATTAAGATCCGAGGAGTTTTACCTGTGAACACCGGAGACGGCTTCCCCGGCCTCGACTTAAACTCCGGGTGAAACTGAACGCCAACGTAAAACGGATGATGCTCTCCCAGCAGCTCCACAATCTCCATCCGCTCCCCGCTCTCGTCCCTTCCACTAAACCAAAGCCCCGCCTCCTCAAACCGCGACACCATCTCAGGATTCACCTCGTACCTGTGCCGGTGCCTCTCGTCGACGTAACTCTCGTTCCCATACAACTTCGCGGCCATGCATGTGCAGCCGTCGTGGTGGTGGAAGTAGGTCTTTCTTGAGCCTAGCCGCATGGTGCCGCCCATGTGGGTCCTCGATCCTTCCGGCATGAACACGACGCACGGGTTCTTCGTCTCGGCGTCGAACTCCGTGCTGTTGGCGTCTTGCATGTCGAGGACGGATCTCGCGAACTCGATGACGGCGATCTGCATTCCCAGGCAGATGCCGAGGTAAGGGATCCGGTTCTCGCGGGCGTGTCTTGCGGCGAGGATTTTGCCCTCCACGCCTCTGTCGCCGAATCCTCCGGGAACAAGAATCCCGTCCGCTCCCTTGAGCGAGTTCCATGCAGCTTTGTGAGCATCAGGGTTCTGCGAAAAAAAGTTGGAAGGAATCACTAACTTTTGCTGTTTAGTCCGCGATCGGATTAATTATGAAAACACATAGCTTTCTAACTCACCGCTTGTGCGGTTCCATCTTCGAGATCCTCAGCCGGAACCCAATCGACGGCGAGCTTCTTCCGGAGAGCAACCGATGCATGCAGGAGCGCCTTCTCAACGGAAAGGTAGGCATCCTCATTGATACGGGTTAGACCCATATACTTCCCAACCAAAGCGACTCGAACCGGTTCGACCAACGCGTCGCAAAGCTCAGCCCTAGCCGTCCACTCCTTCAAATCAGGCTCGTCCCCGCCGACTCCCAAATTCAAAACCCTCAGCACGGCCTCGTGAGCCTTCTGATCCCTCAGCAGAATCGGAACGCGCCACAAGTTCTTCCCGACATCGTGCAAGCTCAGCACGTTCCCGGGCGACACGTGGCACGACCGCGCCAGCTTCTCCCGCGCGTAACCCTCGAGCGGGGAGTTACTCCGACACGCCAGGATGTTCGGAGCCAACCCTAGGCTCCTCAGCGTCCGGACGCCGTGCTGAGTCGGTTTTGTTTTCTGCTCGCCGACCGCGCTCAGGACGGGGACGTGGCTGACGTGGATCAGGCAGAAGTTCCCCGCGCCGCCGACTCCGCACGAGAGCTGGGCCAGCGCGTCGACGAACGGGCAGGACTCCATGTCGCCGACGGTCCCGCCCAGCTCGATCACGCAGACGTCGGGAGGACCTTCCTTCCCGTCGACGGGCGCGTGGGCAACGCGCTGGATCCAATCCTGAATCGCATCCGTCACGTGGGGGACCAGCTGCCAATACAGTCAAAAATTTGTGATCATACGTCGAAACATAAGGTCGTAGATTTTGACTAAAATTATAAGTGAAAGTGAAAAGAGTGATTCTTTGTAGAAGCAACGTTTTCGTGACTTAAGAATAAAAATGTAAGCTTTTGAAATTTAAAACGTAGATTTTGACTACAGTTATAAAGTAAAAAGAGCGATTTTGACTGATTGGTGAGTTGTTGTACCTGTACGGTCTTTCCTAGATAGGCGCCCCTGCGTTCTTTTTCCATGACGGTCTGGTAGATCTTGCCGGTGGTGATGTTGTTGTCACTTGTGAGCGTGACGTCGAGGAAGCGCTCGTAGTTGCCGAGGTCGAGGTCGGCCTCGCCGCCGTCGTGGAGGACGAAGACCTCGCCGTGCTCGAAGGGGGACATGGTGCCGGCGTCGATGTTGAGGTAAGGGTCGATCTTGATGCAGGTGACGCGGAGCCCGCAGGCCTGGAGGAGGACGCCGACGCTGCTGGAGGTGACGCCTTTGCCGAGCCCGCTCATCACGCCGCCGGTCACGACGACGTACTTCATGGTTTCTTTCTTCTTCTTCTTCCGTTCGTTTTTTCCTTATAGCTTGTTCTGCTTGCTGCTGCTGAACTTTGAAGAGAAAAAAGAATACGCAACACTCCTAATTATAACTCGGCCATCTCCTAATTAGAAGAGAAAAAAGAATACGCAAGTTATTATAGAGATTAATTATTGTTATTGCGCAGCGGCAACTAACCCTAACCAGATTTAGGGCCTAGTGTAATTGTTGTTCTACTATAACTCGGCCATCTCCTAATTAGCAAGTTATTAATTAGGTAATAACAATAATTAATCTCTATAATAATAATAATAATAATAATAATCTAAAGAATATTATAAGGGATTTCTAAAAAAAGGAATCACAGATTCGAAATTCTCCAAACGTGAAGGGTCCACGTCAGCACAACGTACTAGCCAATCAAATTATTTTCAAAAAAAAAAAAAAATCAAACCAACAATAAGATCAGCCCCTCGGTGAATGCTTCCGCCATTTTCGGATTTTTTTTTCGTGCAATTTCACGTTTCTTCCTTTTTAGATATAAGTTATATTAGTTACCATCTAAAACATTGCTACCATATATTATGTTTTAACTATATATATATTTGTCACCGTGTTTATAATACAAAAAAATAGAGTTATATTTTATATGCACTAGCAAGTTGTAGCGTGTAATGCATAGCATAAATAATTTGAGTATATTGGGTAAGGTTCGGTCCAAATATTTCAAACATTAGTTGCACGTTAGTCTAAATTTTGAAAATTATGGAATGACATATATTGTTTAGATATTTATTTTAAGTGTTTCATGCATCTAGATTTCATGAACTGTGATTTTTTTGAAAACTTTATTTCCACCTGATTCAAGATTGGATAAACGAGTCATTGTGAGTGTGATGATAAAAAATTGAGATATTATAACATGATCATGTTATACATTTAGTCAATACTTAATATATCTCAATTAAAAGTTAAATATTTTCACTTATAAATTAACTTATATCGTATCAATATCGTGGTTGACTGGTTGTTCCCCGAGGAACTAAATTAACTTTGTATATACGAGTCAAATTTTCAAACCATACATTCAAGTCAAACACAAAGAATAACAAATATTTGTTGAATAATAATTCAAGTATGACAACAAATTATTTAATATAAATTTAATGTATGCATGTAATTAATGAGAGTTTCAAGAATATGAACAAAATTTCTCAAAATTAATTTAATATCAAATAAAACTCACCCGGCCAATGGTCGGGATCAAAGCTAGTAATAATAATATCTGTATTGTATATCGACTATCAGGAAGCCACGATGGTTGGTAGAGTTGGAGGACAACTGGATTTGGCAAGACAAAGGCTAGAAGATGAAGGCGGCCTATAACATTTTAAGAACGGATAATATTGCTCCATCCATGTGTAACGTCCAGGCAGTATATAATTTATGTTACGGCTCAATTGCTGTGCTTGGGAGGATTGATGCTTTTCTAGGTACAAATTAATTTTGTATCGTAATGGTAAAAGTATTAGTTCATTTTGTATCATAAAATGTTTTTGTATAAATTGATATAGTTATAAGTTGAAAAAATCAGGCAGTCTTAGGTTCCGTCCGTCCGAAACCTACAATTCGTGTCACATTTCGCCAGAAAATCGTGAAATTTGTCAACACTTTGTCAAAATATGGCTGAAATTAGTCAAACTCAAAACACCAGAAAAAGAGTATAGGTACAAATTCAATTTAGACCATAACATGTACAAGTTCAGGTTATAGTATAAATTTTTTGTACGAAAATGTATGACTACAAGTTGAATTTGTATTGTACCATAACATTAAATGTATAAATTCAATTTATAATATAAAAGAAATTTGGAAACGAAAACTACAACACTTAAAAAACAGGTTTTACATTAGCTAAGAAGCTAGAAAGCAAGAGTAATGTAGGAGATAAGGAAGTGTTAGCGAACTAACCACTTGGTCCCAATAACTCGAATTGTTGGAAAAGAGTTTGTTAAACCTTTTAATCTCTTACACGTCCCCCCTCAAACGAAAGCCGATGCCGAATTGTGGATTTGTACAGTTTGAACCCTTATGCAATTATACTGCTAAATCACGAGGCATTAGTTTGCACAGGTTGGACATATCATCCCTTGTACTAAAGGAATGGTATAAAATGAAGATCATCATGAGTATTTGTAACCATGACCTTTCAGTTCTAACTCTAATAACATGTTGGCAAACTAACCACTTAGTCCCAATAATTCGAGTGATTAGAAAAGAGTTTGTTAAACCTAAATCTCTTACAGGACGTGATTCCTTGCGTTAATGATATTGATTTTACAGGTCAACTGTTTTGTTTCTTTCGTTTTTCTCTGCTTATATTCAAATTGTTACACGCGCTAAAGAAAGAAAAGATTCGATCTTGCACTTCCCCGCCTGGTATCGCTCTTTATCCAAATCGTCGTGCGCTCCTCCTTGTATCCATCTCACTTTTTTTTTTATAATTCAGGTGTGTTCGGCAAAGATTTGATCTTTGCACTTCCCCTTAAAACCTCACGACACCATTCCGTTGCCTTACAGAAATCCAACTCACCGAAAACCAATCACCCCTAATCCCTTCCCCTGTTTCTCCTCAACAATGACAGCAATGGCGGACAGAGGAACCGCGGAAAGCAGAGCAGGGAAGCTCCGGAGAGCGCTGTCGAGGCTGCTGACGGCGAGCAGGAACTACTACGTGACCAGGATGTCTGAATTGAGCGACAAGGTCCAGACCCAAGCAATCCCGCCCATCGGCGGCTGCCCTCCCAGCTTGGGCTCTCTGCCCCGTGTCTACAGCTTCGGCCGACCGGCGAAACACAGCAGCAACAGCTATTGGGAAGAGCAGAGGGGGCTTGTCGTCGCGGCGGACAAGGTGCCTGGCCGTCAGGATTTGGCCGACAACAAGATCAAGTATTCGGCTGGCAGGTTTGCGAGGAAACGTCAGGTGGTGGATATTGGGATCGGGCTCGGACGGATCGAGGAAGAAGAGAAGTCGTTACTGGGTGGAGATTATCAGTGGTAAATCGAAACCTGCAGAAGCTGCAGAAGCCTGTTTCGTGATTCAAAGTTAAAATGTACGTTTACTAAGGTTAGGAAAGAGAATAAGAATGTGAGAGCGTTTCATTGTACTGAGAAGGCCTCGATCGATGCATCAACAGAAGAAGACGCAATTAACAAACTAATTTATTTTGGTTTTTTTTCTTTCACTAAACTGGGTTTCATAAGTGGAGTTTAAGGTCAGATAATAACACAATGAAACGGCAAGAGGGCAACAATGCCATAAGGACAGAAGCCAGGGGGGGAAAGTAGCTAGCAAGAGTAACATAGATATGTTAGCATATAAGCAGCCTACAAAGTGAAGGCTATATTTTAACCTGGCACCACGGATGAGATGATGAAGTGAACCGATCAATAGTAGCGTGTGCCTGAATCATACACACGTCCCCCTGCAGGGTATTGGCCTCTGGTCCCGTATCCTTGATCCCTTGCGTTATTACCGAGGAAACGAGCCTTCTCCTGGTAAGAGTCGAAAGGGCTTCCGCTATAATTAGCTTGCTGAGCTTCATTGATAGATGCTGAGCCTGCACGTGAAGCGCTATAGCCAAGGGATTCTCCAGGAGCCATGCTGTTGCTGTTGTTTGGGTAATGATCCATCATTGCCTGCTGATATCGGTGTTGTCGTACTTGTGACTCCTTCCGAAGCAGTTCTTCTCTTCGACTTGCGTGCCTAGCTCGAAGTGCTGATAGTTGTTCCTGATGCCGGTCGTTTATGGATTTTATTTTCTGAAACACGGAATAAAGGGAAATGAGATGAAGTTAATAATCTCCTTGTACTCATAAACGTACCAATTTTGGCAAACCCTAAGATAGATGTAATTTCCAGATGCACAACACCTCACCATGGATCCCAAACACAAGCCTAAACCCGCTAGAAGATGAGCGTGTGCTAAGATTAGGGGGATAAGAATGTGTCAGCATTTTCATTTCCACAAGAAAAGATATCGTTTCATGGGCTCCTGATCAACAACGTGAATACCACATCAGGTAAAAATCTTAGGTTGGTACCCAGTATCATTCTAGTTTTGAGGATTCATGCTGCTTTTCATTCACCTAGTCCAATATACAGATGTTCATGTTCATGACCATGTTTAAATATCATCACACGTCATCCAATAATTGTATGGTAGATAGAAGCTAACCTCTCTGTGTCTGGAAATCTCTGCATCCTCAGCATCACTCTGCTCCTTGGCTAATTTCATGATGTCATCAATGAATTTCTGCTCAAGGCCTTCAAAAGTTTGCAAACGTGGTTTGTCCTCATAAGAGCTCTGCATATCTTCCTCTCGTGATCGAGATCTAGGATCAAGGTTCCCTTGTTGCTCTAGACCCACATGGGACTCGGGCCTTTTCCCCTGAATATAAGTCCTTGATGCATCAACCACTTGACCTGTATCAACACGCGACACAAGTACCATAAGTAGAAAGAATCAGCAGCAAGGAAATGGATTGCACTGAAAGGTCTTGCTCAAATTATATGCTACTGCAGCAGATGTAACTTCCAGTTCAATCATCTCCTTTATTGTTTTTTCCACTACACATGTGAAAAATCAGTAACCAAAGTACCTTCATTGAACATCTGAGATGCTACCGGCTTTGATTCATCCCTCACCCATCGCCACTGTCCATCAGGTTTCGAGGAAGTATAAGACGTCTCTCTCTCAGGAGTGAAGGCCTCCAGTTGTCCTTGGAAATGATCAGACCCTTGTTCGACCCTCTGACTAGAAGTATGCTGCTGCATCTGACCACCACCATAAGCAGTGCCACCAGAATCAGCATACTGGCCCTGCCGTCTCATCGCTCAAATAAACCCCGCTTTGCAGGTTGATCGCAACACCTATATGACATTCAGAATCCAAAATAAATCTACTCAGCAAAGACCATTCGCACTTCATGGTACAGCAGATTCAGGAGCAGAAAGTAAGTTCCATTCTCTGACACCACAAAGTAATAACATAAGCATGACAATTATCCATTAAAAATCAATGCCCTAACAACGGAGTCCAGAAAGCAACATTCTTCCGGAAACCCTAGAGACAAAAACCCTAGAGCGAGGAGGGCAACAAATTGATGAAGCAGGTAAACTTCGGAAGACAATGATGTGCAAGATTCTCACCGGGTGAATCTGTACTCGGCACTACATAAGGAGCTTTAGCTGGAGATTTTGTTCTTACCCGATCCCTTTTTTTCTGAGAATTCAGTCCGCTCCTTAATCCAGAGAGTTGAATGGAGGACAGACAAAGTGCGAGAACCTCTCGAGTCGCCAGAAGCGAGCGACTGCTAGGAGAATCGGCGATGACGAGACAGCGAACACGCTGGTTTTCCAAGGCCGCCTTCGTGTTTCAGTGGGTTGGGCCTCCAGCTCCCATCCCGCTTGCCAGAAAAATTGATTCCCGGCTGGATTAGTATTGATTTCCAAGACCCTTTATTTTTGTTATGCATAAATTCCTGAAAAGGTAAATTATTATAACCCTGGTTTCCTCTTAATATTTTTACTTCTTACTTGATGGTCAAAAGAATTTTATTTCCCTTTTATATCAGTTTCATCGATAAAAGTGTCTAAATACTTAATTAGCTATTCCATCAATCTCACAATGCTCGTTCCTTATTACATCAGATTATTCGATATATGCTTTTCATTATATTCCATAAGATTACTTGTAAATAGAGTTGAGAATTACTTTTCTTCGTTTACATAACAAAATGAAAGCTTTCATCATGCATAAAAGTTTGAATCATAGGGGTCGTTTAGAAGTTGCGATTGTTTTGTTGAGATTGTCATTATGCATGTATTGTTTACAATGCATCGTTTTTTTTTTTTTTTAGCAGAAACAATACATAGATTGTTTCTGTGATGTGACAGAAACTATCACTCATTTTGAGTGATTGTTATATCTCAACTTTTAGTTGTGATTGTTGAGATAGTTGAGTTGAGATTGTTTTTTCTCAGCTTTTAGCTGATGCGACATACACAATCACACATACCAAACGTTGTATTCTACAATGCATCAAATTCGACAATACATGTATAATATTATACATGCATTCTCAACAATACATCTATTTAACAATCGCAACTTTCAAACGACCCATAGTTTATGCTCTAGAATCTCTATCATAAAAAGATAAAGTGCATGCCTAGTGAATTTTGATTGTGAATGAAAGAATTGGTTACATTCTTTCTTATGAACAAGAATCGGCCACATTCATTACATTCCCGATTTCATCAACTTAAAATTCATGAGTCTGATGGATTTGAGTTAAACCAAACACTTCTCTTGCGGATTTGTGAAATCGATCATCCATTCGATTTCAAATCCATAGATACCGACACCAACAATCTACTTAAGAAAACACACATCCATTGGATGAGTCACCCATGTATGGTTGTAGATTTGCAGGGAAGGTCTGGATACACATAATGCGAACGCATATAGAGCTACTAGTGGCACACTAATTCTTCGTCTAAGGTACAAACACAGAACGAACACGAACATTCACAGGTGCTTAACATAAAACAGTTGCATCGTTAACTATCTCGTCTTATAAACAAACACATGAAAGCCTCTCCTGAAAGAGATCACATTTGGCTCATAAAAAGTCAAGTCCAGATCGAGACATGGAGCGCCATCTATGCATCAAATTCAAGGTTGGCCGTCGAACTGGAACTCAGTAGTCGGCGACCAAAGCCCACCAGCTGACGCTGAAATCGAAGCTGACACAAGTCAGCTGTTGCTGCTTACTGTTCTTTATCGTCATCTTCAGATTGTAGGAGCCCTGCAATGAAAACAAGCAAACGGTCAGCCAGATGATCCCGTTTCGATAATAAGGGTTGCAGATTTTGATGCTTCATTTCTTGAATATGCTATGCATAAGTTTTACATAAAGGTTCTCCATCAACCCTTGTGTCATGAAGATGCTATTGTTTCAACTTCTAACATTCACACTGTTCTGCCAGGGAAACCCAAGGAGAGGGAGAGTAACAGACTAGTGCACTACTGAATACTGATGATGAAACTAATTATTGTGCAAGATAAGAGCCATCCTAGTCAAATTTAGATTGCATGAAGTAAACTGATCTAAGAGACCTCATGGATCCACGACTAATGCCGATCTACTTTCTAGTCATCCAGTGGGTTGGGAAGGAAACAATGTGGTAACACAGCACTATTGACAATTTTATGGACCTCGCGGACTTGGATGCTTACATCTATGGACACCACAATGTTGAACAATACTGAGAGGTTTCGAAGAACCAAAAGCAAAGTCCAATAGGGAATGTTACTTACTGGTGGAGTAAATCCGGGCAAACTTTGGGAGTGGGAAAGCAGGAAGTCGCCAGCAGGAATAGGGCACGCGATATCCTCGCAGAGGTCTCTAGTCTCGGAATGGACCGAGAAGCCAAACAGGTAAACCTCAAGCAACACTTCCCCACCAGAGATAGCCTCAGCTGTTGCAGAAACAGAGGATGCTCAAGTCAGATCAACACAAAATAGAAAATTAGCTAACCTCTTCACTGCAGCAAATTACTAAAACTGAGCTCCCAATCAATTACATAAAAGATACCTAATCAAAAGCGATTAACATGGAATGGGATATCAATCAAGAAGATTTATTGCTCCTTTCCATTCTCAAATTGAAGTTGAAAACCATCAAAATCAAGCAATCAACGGCCAGTAAGTAGTCAAACCAAGTAGTCAAAACCCCTAAACCAGACTTCTGATGAACTTCGGCAGACAAACTACTGGGAATCAGTTAAGGCAAAGGAATTAGTGAGTACCAGTGGAAGCTGAGATCGCGAAAGTAGCCTGCTTGCCAGCAATCACAGGATCAGGAGTGATTTTGATTCCTTCAACCTTCACAGCATAGTTGGCTTTGGCATCTGCAAATCGATCATCACCCAGAACCAATTCGTCCCACATCAATCAAACCCATCGATTACATGAACAATTGAAAAGAAAGCAATAACTGGCATGCTCAGTAGAATCCAGTAGATTTTCAAGGGGGAGAGGGGGTAAAGATCCGATCAATGGAAGATGATGGAGTCATGAGAGACTGACTGACTAACCGCAGTACTTGACATCGGTGGCGCGAGCGGTAGGTGCTAGGAGGAGACAGATGGCGGCGAGGAGGAAGAGGGTTCGCTGAGCGGCCAGCGAGGAGAACGACGGGGTCGCCATTGATTTTTTCGGGAGGAAGACGAGAATCTGTTTGGTGGGAAATCCAGAGAAAACAAGTGCAGCGAGTCGGTGTAGAAGTACTCTTCCCCCAACTTAAATAGCGGTTTGATAAAACTACCATCCTAAGATAACTTACCTTCTTCCACGTCATTAGGCGGATCTAAGGTTGTTAAACCGGATTAAGTCATCAATCCGATTTGACAAGTGAATTGAGATTCAACAGTTGGATCGAATTCAGTCAGTTCAAGTAGATTTTAACAAGTAGTTTAAGATAATCTCACTAATTTACATTCAAAAGACATATAAATTACAAAGTTAATAATCCTCATATTCAAATCCTCTTTTGATTGGTCAGACCACTCGATTTTAACTGGTTTAACTTGATTTTGACTGATTTAAACTAATTTTGATGTTTTTTTCAAAGCCGTCCTACCAAATGTGTATTCAAGCCATTTAGATGGCTAATTCTGGCTCGACCCAGTTGAACTAGCCGGTCAGATAAGGGTTCGACAACCTTAAGTGGATCATCTTTATCTTTGTTGATCATCTAACATCCTAATCAAGTAATTTTTCATTTTTCGTTGATATAATTTATTCATTTTATATCACCAGTAAAGTTTAACTTTTTTTTTAGTTTTTATGTCATTAAATATAATTTGTCTTATTAGTTAATTATTTTTGTTGGGGATATAGCTCGGATCCAGTCGCGCAAGCAAGACAGCCTAGCGCGCTCGCGGAAAGAACCTCCCGCGGCATGGAGCTCCGCGCAGCATGGAGCTCCGCGAGTAAAGACGCCTCTGCGAGTGCCAGAGGCGCTAGACGTCGTCGTTTTGCTCTACCCAAGCCGATGTCGTTTTGTAAATGCCAGACGACATCGTTTTGCTCTGCCCAAGCCGGCGTCGTTTCGCTCAATTCGAACTAAGAAGGAAAACCGGGAAGAACGACGTCGTATCCTCTAAAGGAATGGTCACATCCTAATCCTAGGTATAATTATGGCCTAAGGCATGACCTAAATGTATGACACATGTAGTAGTCATGTCACATTAAATGTCCACCCACCGCAATGTGTCCTATAAATAGAGCATTTATCCGGTGGGTGAGGAGATCGGATTTTTGACTCTATCACTACCAAGGATCAACTTCTCTCTCTAAGATTTCATTCTCTCAATCACATTCTCTTGTACCTTTATCCTCCAACCGATTGAAGATTCTCATTGCTTGCTCTTCTCACCCCATTTTCCCCCGAGTCTCACTCCTACACTCAGTTAGGCTTAAACAATTTTAAATGATCATTTTGAGATTTTGTAGTTATTATACTAATTGTTGTGAAGTGCCAATTATGACATTGTATTTTATGCGGTTCAAAGTGCAATCCAATTTAAAAAACATAAATTAATATCATGTGTTGTACATCGAAATTCAAACACAACATCTCTCATTGTCTATGTTTTCCCCGATTTTTAGAAGTGTTTTTCAGTTTCAAAAGCTAAAGCATGGTCAAATACCTCTAAAAGTTCGGCTTTTAAAAAGTTCAAAAGTTCTTGTGTATAATATAAAGGGTTAATATTTTCGTATGGCTTGAACTTTGAACAAAATAAACATCTTGACCAATCTTTTCGATCTATAACATCGTGGCCCGAACTATACACCAAAATAAACAATTTGGCCAAACCCGATGTTTAACCGTTAACTTGGACGGTCAAACGCATTGACTAATGGTCAACGCGCCACGTCACTGCCAAGCCAGAAGATCTGATAAATATTTAATTTTTTTTTGTTTTTTATTTTTGGTTTAACTAAGGTATTAGATGATTTTTTAATTTATAATAATTTAAAATTAGGGAATGTGTGGAAATTGTGAATTATTTTAAATATTTTATGTTGACTTGGCAGTGACATGGCGCGTTGACTAACGGTCAACGCGTTTGACCGTCCAAGTTAACGGTCAAAAGTCGGATCTGGCCAAATTGTTTATTTTGGTCTATAGTTCGGGCCAGGATGTTATAGATCGAAAAGATTGGCAGTATGTTTATTTTGGTCAAAGTTCAGGCCATACGAAAATATTAACCCTAATATAAAAGCAGAAGTTCCAATGGAGTTTCTGCGATAAGCTGTTTTAAAAAAATATGATTATCCTTATCATATTTTAATTTTACTTTAGAAAATATAATTTTCTTTCATTTATGTCAATTTAAAAATTAAATGAATTATAAAATCATATTATTTAATATAAAAAAAAGTTATCATTTTTAGTCATTTTACATAACATTTATATTAAAAAGCACTTGTAATAGTTTTTAGACCAAACACTCAAATGATTTCTTTGAAAATTACTTTTTTGAAAGCTCTAGCATTAAACTGCTTTTGCAAAAACCAAAGCGGGCCAAACTAGCCCATGCGTTGATAACGTATGAAGAATGAGTCGTTACATGTTGGCAAAAAAAAAAGACAAAAAATTTGTTGAAAGGGTAAAACCTAAAAGAAATATCCGAATGCATATTTCACATACTTCGTTGATGTTATTTGGTGGGGTGTGATAGAGGACAGATATATCACTTCTGTTAGTTTTCTCGGAGCTGCTCAGCTCGTCTTTGATAAGGTTGCTAGCGACATGGTGGCGGATGCTCACGGGTGTGCGGTTTTGCGAGAGATTAAAGGCTTGCAGGTTGCAACCTTTGTTTCTCCAGTTCTACTGTGTCTTTGTGGGTCGAGCTGGGGACAGGTTTGCTCATTTTGTGGCACGAAAAACCTTTTTATTTAGATAACCATTGTTGATGAGTTGCAATTTTGTTGCGTGACTTCGGTTCCTTTGATAGTATTTCAGTTTACTGAAATCGTTCACGTTTGGTCACTCTCTGTCCAACTCCGTTAACTTTTTACGTTTGGGGGAAATTTTGCCATTTTCTTTGTCTTCGTGTGACGAGACGGTGGCGTTTGCGATTACGACGTTTTCGGCCGGGGAGTTGATGGCCTACATTGACTGTGGCCGCCTGCCAGAGGATCTCGCCAGAGTGGTGACGGCTGGGCTGAAACAGAGAGGGCTTGAAGCGATGCTTGACCCTGTTCTATGGTTGCCCGCGGTCTGGTGCAAGAATGGTAAAGGAGATTCCGGTCCTGTGGGAATGAAGCCCAACAATGGAAGGGTATGCTGCTGGCGCGGTATTGGTATTAGGGATTAGAAGAACTTAAGATTTTTTTATTTATTTTGAATAAAAGTGATAATGAGGTAGAAATGAGATGGTAATTTTTAAATTTTTTATTTTTATTAATTTTAAATTGTCATGTCACTCATTTAACAGTCAACTTTTAGAGTTGACCGCCACGTAAACAAAAGTAAACATAGTTGGACGGAGAGTGACTAAACGAGAACGGTTTCAGTAAACTAAAGTACCACCAATAGATTTAAATATTTCGAATGTTTTTTATAATCTCCGTGACCGGCCATGCAATTAATAAAAAAAAAACTCCCCAGTCCATCTTACAGAATACAGAGGGACGGGGAAGAGCTAATGTCCGATGAATCAGAAGGGGAAGATGGAGATGACGACCCAGAGTGCCCGACGATTAGGGTTAAGAAAAGCACGAATGCCAGAATCAGGAAAATTTGGCACAGAGCGATTACCTTCAGAGTTTTGGGTACTGTGTTCCCCTTTGCCTTCCTCCAACGAAGGGTGATGAAGATGTGGGCCAAAACTGGAGGAATCAAGATCGGTGACATCGGCAATGGATACTACCAAGCAATCTTCGACTCTCAGTTGGATCACGATCGAGCCTTGTACGGAGGACCCTGGACGGTGGAAGACCATTACATCGTTGCGGAACCATGGAGGCTCGACTTTGATCCAGACTATGACACAATCGACAAAACCTCGGTTTGGGTAAGACTTCCCAGATTGCCTCTTGCTTATTTTGATGAGGAGATCCTGTACAGCATAGGTGAGAAACTAGGGAGAGTTGAAAAGATTGACTATAATACAGCAAATGGGTTCCGAGGGAACTATGCTAGAATCTGTGTGGAAATCGATCTTAGGAAGAAATTGGTTTCGAAATAGACTGAAGAGAAGAGTGAGAAGAGTTGAATACGAAGGACTACACATTGTCTGCTTTGAGTGTGGCCACTATGGACACAAAGAAGAGAAATGCCCAATCCGCATGGAGGGTACTGTTCTATCACCAGAAGAGAAGTCCAAAGATCAAATGATGCCCAGTCCAAACCTGGAAGTCAGACCATAAATCACTGAGGACTTCGGACCCTGGATGTTGGCTACACGAGCCAGAAGAAGAAGACAACCAATGAAAAAAACTGACAACAACTACAAGAAGGAAGAACAACAAAAGAATGCATCTGGATCCCGTTATACAGCATTGGAGGAAGAAGAAGAAAGGAATGATGAAGGGGAGGTAGCAGAAGAAGAACAAGAACAGAATGATCAGAATGAGACCGAGAAAGTAGACCAGATGGAGGTGGATGGAACAGAAGGTGGAAATATTGGGAAGGAAGAAAAGAAACAAGGGGGGAAGAAAAGCATAGATACTCCACAGAAAGAAGGAAAAGAGATAAAGGAGAAAAAAGGGATGACAAACACAGCAAGGAAATGAACAGGAAGGGGAACCAGAAGACCACCCCTGAGAACAACACCCAGAAAACAGGGGGTAGGACACAGATTGTGAAGCCTCAGCAGGAGGCAGCCATTCCATCTAAAGAGACCAAGGCAGGGAAGAAAAATGAAGAGGGACCACCTGTCATCTAAAACATTCTCAGAACCAAGGTGAAACAAGCAAAACCAGCAGCAACGACACAAAACATGGAAAGGGCAAAAGTTCGTCTGTTGGTGCCATAAAAGGCCACCAACCAAAGATGAAAGGCATGTCCCCTGGGAAAGAAGCTAAAGAGGGATTGAAACCAAAACCACAACCTCCGGATAATGGGGTTAACCAACCCAGAAAGCTGGATTTCAAATCCAGTCCAGGGAAGGAGGTCCCAAAGCCAGAAAATGCTACTCCACCAAAAGCAACTGATGCCAAAGGGGAGTTGAAGGAGAATGAGACGGCAATGGCCGTCGACAATGTTCCATCCTGACCTTATGGTCATGCCAGGGAAGTCTCTTCAACACTTTTAAATGGTTAAAGTCTTCTCTTGGAATTGCAGGGGTGCAAAGCACCCTAAGTTTCTACCTACTTTTGAGTTATATAAGAACCTCTACAAACCGAATATTGTCTGTATTTTTGAACCTAGAATTAGTGGTAATGACGCCCTGGATGTTATTAAGAAGATGGGGTTTGACTCCCATTGTATCTCTGATGCAACAGGTTTCAGTGGGGGGATTTGGGTCCTGTGGGACAGCACTCAGCTCAGTTTGGAGGAGGAGGACAAGCAGAAGCAGTACATCCACTTTAAATGCTCACGGAGTAGGAAGATTTTGAGAGAATGGACATGTGGGATGCCCTTAGAAGCTTTGGTAGACGTACCAACATCCCCTGGATGATCACTGGGGATTTCAACTCCATCACCAACTCGTCAGAGAAGGCAGGAGGGGCCCCTTACAACCATGCTAAGACCAGGGACTTCAATGAATGCATCGAAGACTGTGGACTCCTTGATATGGGCTTTTCTGGACCAAACTTCACCTGGTTCAAGAGCTCAGGGAGAGTTAAGGAAAGATTAGACAGAAGCCTCTGCAACCTTGAGTGGCACCAGCAATTCCCTGAATCCAATGTCATTCACTTGACACGGCTAAAGTCAGACCATCGCCCTCTCCTTACTTGTTCCACAAGACAACACAGTGAAGCTAACCTGGTGAGACGCTTCCATTTCCTCGCCCCTTGGCTTACCCATGACAATTTCTTTCCTTTCCTCAATGAGAATAGGAAAGCTGGCAACGATTTCCTTCCCTCCTTGCAGGTCCTTGCGTCAAAGCTTCAGGAGTGGAACAGAAAGGTTTTTGGCAACATTTTCAGGAGGAAGAAGATCCTTCTCAATAAGCTGAACTCCCTGGAATTTCTTAATGAAAGGAGACCCACCTCTCATTCGCTGGAACAAGAAAACACAGCAAGGATTGAGCTGGAACAAACACTTTGGGAGGAGGAACTTTTGTGGATCCAGAAATCAAGATCAAGCTGGTGGACTCATGGAGATAGCAACACACGTTTCTTCCACAACAGCACCTTGTGCAGACGAAAGAAGAACAAGATCATCACCCTAAAGGACTCCCTGGGAAACTGGATTGATGACCCTGCTACCCTGCAAAGTCTGGCAAGGGATTTTTTCATCAACCAGTACACCAAAGAGGACAAGGATCCTGGCCATCCATTCCCGCCGACTTCCCATGCCTCGAGAGTGAAGTTTTGGATAGGACTAAATGCCCCCCAAGCCCCGAGGAGATTAGAATGATTATCAAGAACATGAGCCCCCTTAAAGCACCAGGGAAAGATGGTTTCCAAGCTATCTTTTTACAAAAGTGCTGGGATTATGTGGGAACTGACCTGATCAGTTTCGTTTTGTCCTGTTTTGACTCACCTGAACAAATCAGGAGGGTGAATGGCACCCTTCTGACCCTTATCCCTAAAATTGACTCTCCCTCTTCCATGACTCACTTTAGACCTATTAGTTTGTGTAATGTGAGTTATAAAGTGGTGGCAAAATGCCTAGCTGAAAGGCTCAAGCATTTGATGCCCCACCTTATCAACCCTAACCAAACTAGTTTTGTTCCTCAACGCCATATAACTGACAATATTCTCATATTGCAGGAAACTGTCCACTCAATGACAAGAAGGAAAGGGAAGAAAGGATCAATG